TCATTCTGACAGCACCCATTCACTGCAGAGGATCCATTGGTGATGTGGTGAAGTAATGAAATGCTAAATTTCTCCACATCTGTTCAGATGAAGAAACTAAATCAACTATATCTTAGGTGGCCTGATGGTGAGTAAATGTTAACCAAAATTTTTGGGAGAACTACTCCTTTAAAAGAATTGCCTTCCTCTCTAAGATCACTTGCACTTCTTGGTCACACAGAGATTCATATAGACATCAAATGAACAAAGAATTCAACATGATAAAATATTTATTAAAAGAAGGTTTTAAGGGAACACAAGGAGTGGTTATTTATTGGCTCAAATCTACACAAAACCATGTGTCTTTCTTCATTAATAAACATTTCATGTTCTCCTTCAACTTCCATTCAAGTGAAAGAGAACAGATGCACTTGCATTTAATATCACATTGAACTAAAGTATTAACTTATTAGTAATGTATTCATTAAAAAAGTTGTAACAAAAATATTTGCAAAGAAAACTCACAAAACTAGAACTAGTATTGCTTATGAAATTTAGCAGAGGGAGCGCACAAACATTACAATTCATAAAAAGCAAGCATGATGCAACTACAACTTGCATTGTTGGAACTTTATATTAATTTCCTTTAAATGTCAACCAAGAGGAAAATGTCTCGAGAAGCCCTTTCGAACAAAAGCTTACACTGAACATAAATAAAAGAGGATTGTTTTGGCTTAAAAGAGTCCATCCAGTGTCCCATTTCAGGTCTTTAAAGTAAAATAGTAAAATAATATGTGCCCCCTTTCCAAAACATAAAAAAATACCCAACAAAGTAATCATGTGGTCTCTGTTTGTTCCGCCATGAATGTTCTTTGAAGCCAGTCAACCAGTGGCAAAGAGTGTGCAAGAGTTTGTGTGAATGTGTGTCGTTTATTCTTCAATCCTCTTTATTTGTGAACGTTGTTCAGGAAAAGAGGCTGCGTGAATACTGGTTGTGTCTGCGAGCAGGCAACAGGAACCGTTCGTCTACAGTCACTTGTTTCATAGGGACACATAGGGGGAAAACATCAGGAAATCCCCACAAACCCCAGTCCATTTTCCAACAAATGTGCCATGGAAACTGTTCTAGGTGGCACGCTCCTGCTCGTCCACTTCCTGTTTGGTTCTTCTCAGATTGCTTTTCATTTTGACAAACTCTGGGGTGTTTTCTTGCTCCTCTTCATTCTTATGTTGCCCCAATTCCAGCTAAACAAGAAGACAATTTCAGTCACTCATTTCTGGATATGTCCATTAAACATCTATGTCTTTGTGTGCGAGGAAACATACCTGTTCAAGGGTTTCTCGTCTCTTCATGAGCTCGATCTCAAGGTCTGACCTTTTCTTGTGCGCCTCCTGCTCCTCTTTCTGAGCCTTCAACACCTGGTCTCTCTTCCTCTTCTCCATCACTTTCTGGAGTTCTGGTTTATTCTGCGGCGCAAGGCCCCTGTGATAAGAAAAACAAGGAGACGATGAGATATTTGACAATAAATACCCACGATTTTACATTTTCTGAAGAACTGTGGTCATTGGCCCTGCAAAAGTTGCCACCATTACACGATATGTCCAAATTCATAGTATTGCAAAATGTACCCGGATGACTTACTACTTCTGGCTAAATTCTGCAGTGTGCATTCGATGGACACTTTAATATCCCATGAGGCCATGGGAGAGGATTTATGTTAATACAGTGAAGCAATGCAAGTGACAGGTCACATGACAATAACAACATGGCAGATGCAGTACGCCTGAATTTCATTCATAAA